GATGAAGGCACATAGCCTGAGTCATGGTTCAACCGTAGTTGAATTTTACTGGCGAAGGCACATAGCCTGAGTCCCAGTTCAACTGTTGTTGAACTTGGTTGATTTTGATGATGAAGGCACATAGCCTGAGTCATGGTTCAACCGTAGTTGAACTTTTTCGATTTTGACGATGAAGGCGCATAGTCTTAGTCATGGTTCAACCGTAGTTGAATTTTACTAGCCAAGGCACGTAGCCTGAGTCATGGTTCAACCGTAGTTGAATTTTACTGGCGAAGGCACATAGCCTGAGTCATGGTTCAACCGTAGTTGAACTTTTTGGCGAAGGCACATAGCCTGAGTCATGGTTCGACCATATTTGAACTTTGTCGATTTTGACGATGAAGGCGCATAGCCTGAGTCATGGTTCAACCGTAGTTGAATTTTACTGGCGAAGGCACATAGCCTGAGTCCCAGTTCAACTGTTGTTGAACTTGGTTGATTTTGATGATGAAGGCGCGTAGCCTGAGTCCCATATTGTGGGTATTGAGTGTTGAAACTCGTTTTGGATTCGAGACCTTGAGCGGCTTATCCGTTGTCTTCCCAACCAGGGTATATAGGCTGTCCTGAGGCGACTCTCGGCTCGAGATATCTCCGTGCCTGTTTCTGACCGGAGCTCATGTGCCTTACAGAGACTTTCCCTTAGGAAGGGAGGGCCCCCCTTCTTCTTGTTTGCACTATCTGAGATTGGAGAGAGAGAGGACTTAGATCTTGATTTGAGATGTTCGAGTTCCCCTTCGAGTTTGGCGCTTCTTTCCTTTTGGTCCAGGGAAGAACTACGCGATTTTGCTAGGAAATTCCCACAGACGGCGCCAAATTGTTTGCTCAAAAGTTATCACATATCTTATGAGTATAAAACAATATAAATAAATTACGGAAAAATCATAGCAAACCGTAATAATCCGTTGGACCAAATGAAGGAAAACGAAAATTAATACTCAGGATTAGGGGGAGAAACATTAGAAACCTTTATTGATAATATTGGTTTGGTCTGCCTCTCCATGGAGAGGTTCAGATCCTTACAATGGTGTTCCTCTTGCCCATAATTTTGGGTATCGTTGTCCCTTTTTTCTCTCTCAATAGTGGTCACGAAGAAGCCCCCCCCTTTTCTAGGGTTCCCTCTCTTGGTATTTATAGCTGTGAGCTTCGTGAGCTGGCAATAAGTGGCCGTGACCACGTTGGGATCTCGCCTTTATGGTGGCGGATAGGCCATGGCCTTGTCGATCGAACCAGATGCGGGCTGAACATCGTCAATTCTGAGTGGTCGTGCCACTAATTAATCATGAATTAACTTGAAACGGGATTAACCTCGTTAATTATCGTGGGGTCGAATTCTGACCCATACAAAATGAATTGTTTTTATTATTATCAACTGATGATATTTCCTAATAAAATGTAGTTTTAAAAGTGCATTTTGCTAAAGAAAAGAAATACTTATAACTTACTCGTGTGTTAATTGTTAAGTAGTGTATATTGTAACTTCTTAAAAAAAAATAAAAATTAAAAGGCTAAAAGAGCATGTATTTATGGAATTTAATTTCCGTACCGTACACACGTGCAATTACATCAGTTCAGAAACCATATTTCTTATTTTATATTTCCTCTGTGTAATTGCACGAAACCCCAAGGGAAAGAAGAGTCATAATGGAAGAATATATAATCATTAATTAAAAAAAAAAAAAAAAAAGAGTTGGTTGATGACTTTTGATTCTTCATTGTAGAATCACATCAATGAATTGAAAGAAAAAGTCATTTTCATACCCCCCCAAACACACTCTTTCTTCTTTTAACAACTTCTACTAGTCTTGTTCATTTCAGATCAATTTAGCATGCTTTAATAAGTACTACTAAGCTTTAAAATTCTTTAAATTAGTAGCATTTTCTGGGTGTTCTCAGAATTCTTTGTCCTAAAAACATTACTGTTCTTTAAGGTTTTCTACTGAGGAAGTACTAAATTCTACTTCCTCTGCTTCTACTGTCAGTCAGCTGTCTCCTATTTTTCTTCTTTTGTTGTCATTCTTATGTTTTTTTGCTTCAACCCTTTCACTTACATGTGATTCTTGGGTATAATGGGTGAAGAACACGTGCCCATTGTTCCTTCTGATCGAGCTGTTGAACAGGTTTTTTTCTTCTCAGTTTTGAAGTTTTTTTTTCCTTTCTTGTTTTCATTTCTGCAATTTTAATTCTTTTGTCAACTAATTCTTCCTTTTTCTAGTGGGTTGGGTTCTTGAGATTTAGTAGTAGTGTTAACTAACAAGGGAAAAAGGACAATCTTGTGTGATCAAAGTATTCTGAGTTGTTATTTTGTTCCATGAGGAAGCAGTAATTTACCATATTTGTTGTTGTTGTTTAGAATAATATATATCCTCTATTTTTGTCATTCAATAACACCAATTAATCTTCTTGTAGCTTAAGTTAGCTCACCTATATTATCTTCCTTTGATGATTGTCTCATGAGTCTTCTATCTGCCATGTCAATCAAACTGCAGATTTAATAATTTTCTGTTAAATAATCTCTTGCAAATTGTATAGTGAGAAATTATGTTGTCTTTCCGGGGTCATTCATACAATTTGCTAATCAGTAGATATCCTGTTCCACTCACATCTTTTTCTTTTTTCCTAATGTTACTTTCCCTCTCAAATCATGTCCAGGCAATAGTTGCATTGAAGAAGGGTGCACATCTTTTAAAGTATGGTAGAAGAGGAAAGCCCAAATTCTACCCTCTAAGGTTATCCGCGGTAAAGTTTTAATCACCATACCTCAGGCCGAATCATTGCCATTTCATGTTTCAATTACTGTAGGTGAAGTATATGGTTTTATCTTTGTTTCCAGGATGAAAAGTTTTTGATTTGGTACTCTGGTGAGAAGGAAAACCAACTGAGGTTAAGTTCAATAACGAATATCATCCGCGGCCAAAGTACTGTAAGCAGTGAGGCTGCCACACATATTGATATACATGACGTTTCTCAAGATATATACATAAACTGTGAAATTTCCTTTTATTGACAAGAATGTTTCATTTTCTAATTAAGGTAATTCTTCAGCCTGAGATGGAAAGTCAGTGCATATCACTCATATATGGAAATGGCGAGCGTACTCTTGATCTGGTAAATTAAACATAACATCTAGTTTAATAGAGCAATGTTGTACAAGCATGCATGATCTCTAGTTTTGCTAAAAAACCATATTTCATTTTCAGATTTGCAAGGATAAAATGCAGGCTGAGACTTGGTTTGTAGGCTTGAGAGCTGTAATATCCAGGACTCACCACCATAGAGTGGTGGACCCTCTGAAAAGCAAAAAAGGCGCACACAGTTGCATCAGTAGTCCAGCGGGTTATATGCGGAGGAAACAGAATCTTGGACTTTCAGCAAAGACAATCAGATCCTCTCAGGTTCTTGACATCCGTCTTTGTGTTTTTAAGTTTTCAATGCTTAACCATGTGTTTTTGTAACCGTTATTTTCCCCTTTGTGCATTCAAACTTCAGAATGTCCTATGATTTTGATCTTGTCTGGAAAGTAGCTTTGATATTCTTCTTTAGTAGCTTTTTCACTTGATTTATGTGAATGGAGTTCGACTCTCTTAGTTCCTGACAAGTATGAATTTACTCCCAAAGCTTGTGTTTCCAGTATAAATTCTAAGTTTTGTTACTTGAGTGGAGTGGTGACTTTGGCTCTGAATTTGACAGATCTGTTTGATAACCTGTGAATGATAAACAGAAAAATTACAAATCACTGGCGATAATACATATAATAAGAGAGAAAAAAAGTACTCTGTATAGACAGTGGTCAATCTTTACTCTATAGATGCTTGAGAGTTATAACATGTAACTGATTAAGCTCAAACTTTTATATTCCTTATAAGATCTTTAATCATTAGTACTTCTCCATAATGTGGTTTTATGTCGTATTTGATGTTGTGTTCAGAGTTGTTGCCAGTTAGGGCACCTGTACTTTGACATCAGTTACTTTTCTTTTGCGAGTTCAGCAATCTGAAAAAGAAACTTGCATTTCCATCTTTTAATTCTCAAGAATTATCTTTCTTCCTTATATTATTCTGTTCTTTTATGGTTGTCTATTGTAAGAAATATAATAAATACATTGTTTCCTATCTGATAGAAGACAAAAAAGAAGATATCCTTAATTTTCCATCACTCTAAAAATGATGTATACTTATTTGATCAAGGTTCGCAGCTTAGCGGGGAGTCCCACTCACTCATTTTCAGAAAGGTGTTTTACTGATGGCTTATCATGTTCTTCCGACAGCTTTTTCTCGGAATCAAGTCTTTCGAGTGTGCATAATGTAATTGAGAATGTTACATGTTCGTCATATTTTGAATCAGATAACTTAACCCAGAAGAGAGCATCTTGTGCTGGGACTGAAAACCAAACTGATATACTAACTCCATTTATGCCGTCCACTCACGAGTCAAGACCATTTGGGAGGAATGTACTGAGGGATGTGTTTATCTGGGGAGAAGGAGCGGAAGGAGGGTGCTTTGCGGATGGGAAAGTGAAATTGGATGCTTTGTCACCCAAACTTCTGGAGTCTACTGTGATGCTCGATGTACAGGCATTATCCATTGGTAGGAGCCATGCTTCCTTAGTCACCAAACAGGGTGAAGTTTTTTGCTGGGGTGAAGGAAAGAATGGAAGGCTTGGACATAAACTCGACATGGACACCGGAAGGCCGAAACTGGTCGACTCCCTTAATGGGGTTCGCGTAAAATCTGTCACTTGTGGGGAATACCAAACATGTGCCCTGACCTTTTCTGGTGAACTGTACACATGGGGTGACAACTCTTTTGGTGCTGAGTTAGTAGGTGAAAAAAAGAAGAGAAGCCATTGGCTACCTAACAGAGTATGTTGTTCCTTGGATGGGGTGAAAATATCTTATGTTGCTTGTGGGGAATGGCATACAGCAATTGTATCAACATCTGGACAATTGTTCACTTACGGAGAAGGAACTTTTGGAGTTCTTGGTCATGGAAATCTCCGAAGTGTCGCTCAGCCCAAAGAAGTTGAGTCGCTTAGAGGTTTGTGGGTCAAAAGTGTTGCATGTGGGCCATGGCATACAGCTGCAGTGGTGGAAATCATTGTTGATCGTCTTAAATTCAATAATTCTAGTGGGAAACTGTTTACATGGGGCGATGGGGATAAAGGAAGGCTTGGTCATCCTGGCGAGGAGAGAAAGCTCTTACCGACCTGTGTGGCGCAACTTGTTGATCATGATTTTATTCAAGTTTCCTGCGCAAGCACCCTAACTATTGCACTATCTAGCACAGGAAAAGTTTTTACCATGGGAAGTGCAGTGCACGGTCAACTGGGTAATCCAGAAGCCAAAGACAAATCAGTAGTGCTTGTGCAAGGAAAACTTAAAGAGGAATTTGTTACAGAGATATCCTCGGGATCATATCATGTTGCTGTGCTAACATCAAGGGGAAGTGTTTACGCATGGGGTAAAGGTGCAAATGGACAGTTAGGACTAGGTGATACAAAAGATAGAAGTTGGCCAACGTTAGTTGAGGCACTGAGAGAAAGGCAGGTGGAACATATTGCTTGTGGATCAAGTTCTACAGCAGCAATATGTTTGCACAAATCCGCGTCTAGTACTGATCAATCAGCTTGTAAAGGATGTAGCATGTCTTTTGGAATTACAAGAAAGAAGCAAAATTGTTATAATTGTGGGTTTCTCTTTTGCCGCACATGCTGCAGCAAGAAAACCACAAATGCCTCTTTGGCCCCGGACAAGACTAAAGCTTTTCGAGTATGTGATCCATGTCTTTACCAACTTCAGAGAATTGCTCAGTCAAACAGGCCATCCAAGCTTGAAAATCGTAGTCCACGACCATTACTAATTACCCAAAAGGCTTTTATTCACGAGAAGGTAGAGCAGCAAGAGGCAAATACTACATCAAGTCGAATGATGTCAACGAAAAAGTATTTCAGTGAGAACAATCAATGGTTTGACAGGAGGGCTACCAACAGTTTAGGGGAAAGTACTGATTTTGCATCGTTGTTGGATGTTTTTCCAAGATGGGGACAAGTTCCTTGTCCTGAAATCTTTAGAAGAGACTATGGAGGACAGATGAGAACCCAAAATCATTATGCTAGAAATTCGCTGACTTCACCTTCTCCAAATTATTTACAGCAGATTAACAAAGAACCAAAATTAGTCCCCTCTACTGGTGTAACTATTGAGGAGAACTTGTCAGAATCAGACAAGATCCTGCTTGAAGAAGTTTCCAAGCTAAGAACTCAGGTAATGTCCTAATTTCCTATCCTCTTACATGGTTCAATTGCTTATACTTGGCTGAGATTATTAAGTGTTGATGCACGTCTCTCTCTGTTTATAATTGTGTGAATAAATAATCTTTTTGGCGTGTTCTGATATGTGGAGTTCAAGAACGTAGATTAGTTGACAAAATCTGATCAATTCAGAGATCCATGCCTACTAAAGAATGATGCACTGTGGAAGTTAAATAGAGCAATAAACAGCTAATTTTCTCTCATATAATGTTTGATTGGTGACAAGTTCTAATTATGGTGACTCAAGACCAATTCTGACTGCTTTGCATATATACTGTAGGTTGAAAATCTTAAAAGGTTATGTGAAACAAGAAAGGAGAAAATTCAAGAACGTCAACAAAAAGTTGAAGAAGCCTGGTCATTGGCTAAAGAGGAAGCTTCCAAGAGTAAAGCAGCAAAGGAAGTTATAAAAGCTTTGACATCACGGGTAACTTTTCTGTGAGTTAATTCTTTTGGCTGTCTCCTTCACATGAACATTTTAATCCATCAATATATTACCTCGTAGCAAAAACATAAAAAAGGAAACTATTTTGTGAATTTGATAGTAATCTGTTGGTGGATGCGGCAGTTCTTTTTTGTTGCTTAAACTTGTTTTACAAATTGCAGCTGCAGACAATGTCAGAAAGCTTTTTTGCTGGAAGAGGAACTAATGATCAAGCTGCTGCAAATGTACTGCAGACTACATCAACGTATTCAGATAGCCAAAATCATATAACTGGACATCAAATTGTTGTGCCTACATGTGTGCCTCTTGCAAAAGCACAACCAGAAGACAAAAGCGTTGATAGCATATGTAGTTCTCCGATTGTGTTCTCTAGTACTTTAAGATCCTTCTATAACAAAGAGAACAATGTGGAATCCAGATCAGCAGAAGAATCATATAAAGGAGCCGATCATGGCCAAGTTGAGCTCAGAACATCTAAAGGTGAATGGGTGGAACAGTATCAGCTTGGTGTCTTCATTACATTGACAGTGCTGCCAAGTGGAAAGAAGGGACTCAAGCGAGTCAGGTTCAGGTATATGATACAGAAATCTCCCTCATGATTTAAATGTTACAAATGAAAGTTACACTTCTTATAATGCAGTGAGACAGTAGCAGTTATGATATCTTATTCCTTCTCATTGTTCATAATATGGTAACTGAAATTCAAGTCCCAACGATGAACATTCGTTTCTTTGATTTAATTGGGTGTTGGGAGTTGAGGGAACTTGTGTCTTTTGATTAAAAGGATGTAACTCATGGTAGATATCATTTTACTACAAAACACCAATTTTATTCAGAGGGAAAGCAAGCTGCAATCTTATCAATCACCAACTTATGCAAGGGCACTATAGTATTCGGGCAGCGAGTGAAGCCAGTTCATGAGCAAAGGAGATCTATTGACTTAAAATTCTTGATCCAGCTCTACTTATGTTATGATTATGCCAATGATTAGCTTGCATCGTCAATATGTTAAACTGCTTACCAAATGCATTTTTTGTTGAATTTTGTAGTAGGAAAAAGTTTACGGAGAAGGAAGCAAAGAAGTGGTGGCAAGAAAACCAGCTTTCTGTCTACAAAAAATATGATATTGAAGGATATGAAAATCTGAACCAAGACTTGCTGAAGAAGTAGCAGTTCCCTTTTCCTCCCAATGTAAATTGCACATGATTACAACAGTGGTTCATGTTATTGAAGGTATTTAATCGCTCAATGTGCTTAACATATGAGGAGAGAAGAATGCAATTTTGTATTGCCAATTGAATATGGATGGACAATCATAGATAATTTTTACATTCAGTTTATATGAGGCTAGCTATTAGAGAGGCGACCTGGTGTACAAAGCATCCTGCATTTACGCAGGGTCCGGGAAAGGGCCGCACCCCTAGTGGTGTGATGTAGACAGCGTACCTTAATGCAAGCATTAGTGGCTGCTTCCACGGCTCGAATCCGTGACCTATAGGTCACACGGAGACAACTTTATTGTTGCTCCAAGGTTCCTCTTCAAAAACTTGAACACTTGAACAACTCCTTTTTAATGATTTTTTTAAACATTTCTAAATAATTTTCAGTTGCTAATATTTTCTTTAAAACAAATTAAGCAGACAATATAAATTAGTGATTTCTTTTTAATTCAAGGGCTTGATTTAATTGGTCAAATGTCAGTGCTCCCACCCCACAATTATTCAAAGTAAAATCTGGATCTTAGAGCTTAAATATTTCTAATTAAGAAGATTTTTTTTTATTTAATAAAAGACAGTTTTGGAAGCTTTTCAACTCCGACACAAAATGCAGTTTATTCAACGGTGATACTTTTCATGCAAAAAAACTAATCCTCTAACGGATTTAACTGATCAAAATTTTCTTTTCCTCTTTTTCATGTTCCAATGCAAATCTTAGTCAAATTTAGATATTTTTCTTTTGAAATGAACCTTATCCATTTTTTTTGCCAAAATTTTGGGAACTTTCACTTTATCAGCCTGATAATATAAATGTCAAAGCTCCAAAGCAGTCAATAAAATTGTGTAGCCTATGATTGAAAGATCTTAGGATGAGTTGGATAAAGTAATATAGAAGCTTTAATGCATGGGAACATTAATTTGATAACAAAGCTTCGTAATCCTTAACACGTCTTTGTTATGGAATTAATTATTAATAAGAAAAATATGGCCTATAAAAAGGAACTCGAAATACTTTGATTATTAGAAGGAAACAAGTGTTTGCTTTTCTGCCTTTAGGTTATAATAATAATAATCCCATCATTTTTTTTAAACTATTACTATTAGTTTATTTTACCTTTTCCTTCTTTTGGGCTGTCGATTCATGTGACGTCCGTTTTGTGCATTAGAAGACATCCTTCCGGCAAGTGTTTTGTTCTTTGATTAGCAGAGAAAAATTTATGATAGCAATTTTGGAAAATGATATAGTATAGTCGTTCAAAGTGTGTCTGCGTGTATATACATATGTTATATATCAAAATATACAAATTTTATATATTCTTTTAGTTAACGGATATAAATAATTATAGCCGCTGGCAAAAATGATCTTTGCCCAATTTTTTTGTTATTTAATATTGGAGATTTTATGATGACGTCACTAAAATGCATGTTCAAACTACTTTCCCTCTTTTATGTCCCTTTTTATATATGGGGTTCCCAATATGACAAATTTAGCTTAATTGTTTCGTCCCATCCAATGATTGTTGAGTTAAACAATTTCGACCGACGATATAACAGATGAGTGTGAACAATGAGGCATAAATTAAACAAAAACTATTTTTTTTTCTTTTTGACATAATGGAATGAGGTTTGAATGCATGAGGGGGAACGAATTTGAGTTTTAAACGGTAATGCTTTATTGCATTCAGACTAATCTACTACAAGTATAGATTAATAATAGGCTCCATTTTGTTACTCGATCGTTTGTCGTTGTGACGACCCAAAGGGTCATCACCTGTTTTCTCATTCATTCCGTGCTTCCGAGGCCTCAAAAACCTCATTCAGGGTTGCCTCGATTTGCGTGCACAGTCCGGGCGCGTAGCCGGAAAGCTTAAATATGAATTATGTGTGAAAAATGCTAAATTTTGATATTAATATGAATATATTTGACTTCGGTCAGCATTTTGGGTAAACGGACCCGGACCCGTGATTTGACGGTCCCGGAGGGTCCGTAGGAAAATATGGGACTTGGGCGTATGCCCGGAATCGAATTCCGAGGTCCCAAGCCCGAGAAATGAATTTTTGTGTGAAACTGTTTTCTGGAAATGATTAAGGAAAATAAAAATAAAATTTGATTAAAAGACTATGGTATCGGGCTCGTATTTTGGTTCCGGCTCCCGGTACAAGTCTTATATATGGTTTAAGCGCTTTCTGTAAAGTTTGGTTGAAATCGGACGTCGTTTGACGTGTTTCGGACTTAAAACTCTAAATTTAAAAGTTTATGAAGTTTGAAGAAAAACTAGTGATTTTGAGGTTTGATTCATTGTTTATGATGTTATTTTGGCGATTTGATCGCACGGATAAGTCCATAGGATGTTTTTGAAGTTGTGTGCATATTTGGTTTGGAACCCCGAGGGCTCGGGTGAGTTTTGGATAGGTGTCGGATTGCATTTTTGCATTTTTGAAAAATCTGGTGTTTTCAGTTCTGCAACTTTCGCATTTGCGAAGCAGGTCTCGCAAATGCGAGCCTGGCATCGCAAATGCGAGAAGAGGGAGTCAGCAGCTGGGGTCGCAAATGCGACCAAATGGTCCGCAATTGCGAAGTCGAGCTGGTCGCAAATGCGACTCTTTTGCTCGCAAATGCGAACCTCCCCTTTTTCCACTTAAGGTCGCAAATGCGAGATATAGTTCGCAAATGCGAAATCTGGGGGAATTCTGCTGGGTTCGCAATGCGAACCCAAGTTCGCATTTCCCACATCTGCAACCTGCATATTTTACACTTAGCCGAATTTTTGAGTCATTTCAAATTCTCTCAAAACACAAACCTCTTTGGGCGATTTTCCAAGAACAAGACTTCTTCCAAATCATTTGTATGTTGGTTTTTACTCGTTTCTTTCAATCTTTAACATCATTTAACATGTTTTCAACTTAAAATCAATGATTTTCATGGGTGAAATTGGGGGTTTTGGGTAGAAACTAGGTTTTCTATAAATTGGGGATTTGGACCTCAATTTGAGGTCCGATTTTAAAACAAATTACATATTTGAGTTCGTGGGGGAATGGGTAATCGGGTTTTGGTTCGAACCTCGGGTTTTGACCACGTGGGCCCGGGGGCAATTTTGGAATTTTCGGGAAAAACTTTGGGAAATTCATTTTTATGCATTCAAATGGATTCATTTAGTGTTTATTAACGTAATTAAGTAATTTGTGGCTAGATTCGAGCGGATTGGAGGTGGAATTACGGGGTAAAGCCATAGTTGAGGCTTGAATTGAGTTCAAGGCATCGAGGTAAGTGTTTGGTTTAACCCTAGCTTAAGGGAATAGGAGTTAAGTCTTATTTGTAACTTGCTAATTATCGAGTACGATGTATAGGCATGGTGACGAGTATCTATACATTGGTGTCTAGCATGACCGTGAGTCCTTATTTGCGGATAGTTTGGTTGTTGTTATGCCTTCCATGCTTAAATGATGACTTCAATATATTGTAAAGACCTTGTGAGAGAAATTGTGATCTTGAAACTTAGTGGAGCATTGGCTCGGGTTGAAATACAAATTGTGAAGGTATATGAGATAAGTAACTCTTCGGAGCATTGGCTCAAGTGATAATGTGAACTATGAGATGAAAGTGAAAGAAAGAAAAGAGTTCATGATTCATTCCCTTGCCGGGACGTTGTTGGTTATTGATATTGTGCCCTTGCCGGGTTTTTAATTGTTATTTGTGTTCCCTTGCTGCGATTTTCATTATTGTTTATTTATTCCCTTGCCCTCGTTTGTGATTGTTGATTGGGTGAGGAAGAGTGTTAAAGCACGAAGGGTGATGCCGTGCACTATTTGTTTATGGTAAGGAAAGAGTGTAAAACACGAAGGGTGATGCCGTGCATTGTTTGTTTATTATGAGAAAGAGTGTTAAAGAACGAAGGGTGATGCCGTGCCGCACGATGTACCATTCCGTGCCGATTCTATTGATATATGTGAGTAATGAGAGTAAAAGCACGAAGGGTGATGCCGTGCACATGTTATTGCTTGGTGAGGACGATAGTAAAAACACGAAGGGTGATGTCGTGCACTGGTTGAATTTTGTTTCATTACATACTATTGAATTGTGCTGTATTCCTTTATTACTGGACGACTCTTATTTGGAAATTATTATACTCCCCACAGCATGCTTCCCCTCCCATATTGTTTGTCTGTTTTGTATTCCGATTCCGCTGTATATATATATATATATATATATATATATATATATATATATATATATATATATATATATATATATATATATATANTGTTCCCCTCCCATTTAAAATATTTATTCTTGTTATTTTCCGCTATATATATATATATATATATATATATGAAACTGCACAGGTTTATGTGGTAGTCTGGTCTAGCCTCGTCACTACTTCGCCGGGGTTAGGCTAGACACTTACCAGCACTTGGGATCGGTTGTGCTGATACTACACTCTGTGCTATTTTGCACAGATCCAGGTTTCGAGCAGGAGTAGCAGCACTAGGGTGGGAGCAGACTTTCAGTCCGAGAGACCCGAGGTAGCCTTGCAGGCGTCCGCAGGCCCGGCATCTCCCTTATTCTCTCTTTTTAGCCTGTTGCCTCATTGTATTCGAGACAAACAGCTTATGTTTTCTTTCAGACGTTTGTATTTAGTATTTCATAGCAGTTCGTGAGTATTGTGACACCAGTCTTGGGTAGAGGGTTACATTGACTATTCTGCATTTTAATTCAGTTTTTATATTTAAGACTTCCGCTGCTATTTAATTTTCGTTGTTTTCATATCGTTTCCATGAATTGTTAAAAGGGGTTATGTCTTAAACAGAAAGTAATCAATTTGGCTTGCCTAGCTTCTACAAGTAGGCGCCATCACGACTCCCGAGGGTGAGAAATCTGGGTCGTGACACTTTGAGACACAAAGTGTTTTTGATATAAACAGATTGCTACTTCAAATAATTGATACATGCGTACATGTTTTGCCGTCAGGACTCGACTATTCTATAGGGACACGGGTTATCTGACCGTTTGGCCCGTTACCAAGTTCTCCTATCGACGCCTTCTTATGCGTAAAGTATTTTCCTTGAAAATATAACCTCCGAGGGTGATGTCCCCCAGTATTCGAGGTTGGTTGAAAAGAAGCCT